TATTTTTCTTTTGTCATATATATTTCGTTCTAGGTGGAGATCAAGATTGTTATCATTCTTTTGAGGTCGATTATTTACAAGTTTTACCGTCTCTATTCGACCTTCATGTGGGTAATTTTTATTTACAATTAGCAAGTGAACCAAATCGTGATCGAGTATTAACATGTATTCGTAAATATATGAAGCCATGGCATCGAATTTTTGTTGGTGTCATTAATCCAATTAATCCAACCGTAGAAACACCAGAACAAGTGTGTGCTCGCGTATTAGAAGCTGCAAAATATATTCCTGTGGAACAGTTAGGTACAACTGATGATTGTGGCTTTTCTCCATTTGATGATGATCAATCGACGTCAAGACAAATTGCTTTTGACAAAATACGGGCACGTGTTGAAGGAACACGCATGGCTCAAGAACAACTGATGATGGCACAAGTGAAAAAAATATAACAATACTACACTAACTATTATCAATAAACATTTATATAATATAAACATTTCACAAAAATAAATATCATTCAGAAAAAAAAATATTTTCATTACATATTGATGTAATTTATGCTTTTCAAACTATTTCAAAATTTAGATAATACCACAGAGAAAGGAAAAGATTTGTTAGCAACAAATTTCTACTAAATAATTTGTATTAATTGACTCTCGATGCTCGAATATAAGAACAACTGATGTGTTCCGATGTGTATGAAGAATCTTATCTAAGAAAAATTTGATAGAAGATTTGAAAAACAGTTATCCCGATATTTAATAAAAATTTGACTATTGTTATGATTGAATGAGATGATGCACTAAAGAAAAAAATTCATTATGCTTGACTAAAAATCTCTTTCAATTTGATTGAGATATATTGTCTATTATCAGAAGATATATGCGAAAGTTTTCATAAAGGTAATAAATATAAAATAACAAGTTCTGAGATTTCCTCACAATATTCTGTTGATTGTAACTCAATGTCCTTATGTCATTTTATTTCGTTGCTCTTTTCCTTTCTCATTCTTACATGTGGAAAAATATTCTCTCTACACTATATAATTGCAAGAAAAACAAAACTATCAAGAATAATAATTGTTAATTTTTCACTGTATACTATAATTATTGAATAAGAAACATTCATTTATACAAACTGCATAATGAAAATTTCATGATAGCTTATAATAAAATTTGTGATTATATACCTCTCATTAAATGTTTAGTCCATTGTCTTATGTGAACATATCATATCGATCTATCATAAACTTGTCATTGTTGAATTAACAAAAATGTTGATGTATGAATTTCGTTTCATAAGACGTCTTGTTTCCTTAGTTCTTTTATTGAAGTAGACATACTATAAAGTTGACTTCTTTTAATGGAAAATAAACTATTTCTTGCAATTATTGAAGACATGTGCAATCGAAATTTTTATCTCTCAATAAAACAATAATCTGAAATTTTCCATATGGATATCAATAGAACTGATCAAATAAGAAAGAAAATGAAGGCTTATGTTAATTATTTCAATTCAAAAAAACGTTACATAAAACTGAAATTGATTACCACCTGTTGGAATGCTTCATTATTTTATTCGTTGATGACAAGACATGGAGCAGACAAATTCTAAATATAGTTCATACTTGTTTCTAAAAATGCAAGAGAATAATTGGAAACATACTTTCCTCAATTAGTTCCTTCTGAAAGAGAGAAATCAATGCTCGAACGATTATCTTGTTATCATTCTCATATTTCGTCTAATTATTTTTCTTCTTTTTATTGTTGTTCTTAATTATATCTTCTAGTACAATCTAAAATTCATCAAAATTTTCATACGATCTTGTTATTACATATGAATTAATCTAGAGAAATGATTTTTGAAAATTACATACTGATAAAGCACACATCAAAGGAATTGCTGTTTAAGTATTTAATCAAAAACGAATGTTTTTTTTAAATGGTAATATTCATCGCGATTCACAAAACTAAACAAATATGATAAAAAGTGCCTCTAAAAAAAAAGGTCCACTGAGAACCGCAACACGGGAAAAGATTAACATTAATTATTCTTCAAAATACAATCTTGAACCATTAACTTTCGATTCATGCTTATTTTGCTTTATCAAATTTAAAATCTGTACACAAGTCTTATATTTAATTATATAAATATAATGTTCGACTGATTTTAGAACGGTTTTCTAGCTATCTGAAGCTTCTTCAAATATTTTAGCTTGTTTTTAGAAACTAGAAACCGTTTAAAAGAGATTTCTCTATTCGTTTAATTGCTTGCCATTCATGTCTTCATTGGAAGTGCAAATAATTTTTCTCGAAACAAAATCCATCAGAAAGAAAAAAGATTCAAAAACATAAAGCATAACGAAATTTATTCAGCTTTAACAATTTATATGAGTCATTTGATATGGCAGAAAACAAGTTTACAAGAATCTGAAGAAATAAATTCTTGAGAAATAGTACTAGCATTGTCATAGTTCCTATTTATTGTTATAACCACGAGATACATATTCGTAGTGTACAATACAATTTCATAAAGTAGAAGAATAACATGAATTTATTGTAGTTGCACGAGAAATTTTTGTTATTGTAGAAATTTTGAAATTCTTTTGTCACTCAGTAGTTTACACTTTAATTATTAAATAGGCGAACGATGCATTTAGATTTTCTGTGACGATACTAGCCACATAATGAAGCAATAATTTATTTTCAAAGATCATGCAATTTATACTAATGCTCATATATAGGAAATGATGTTTGTAATGAGAATATTAAGATATGTTTATGTTGAAAAAGATTACATCAAAATTTATTTCAAACTTTTGAATTTTGTGACATTTCAAAATGTTTTGTAGAAAATCACTGAGCTTCTCTTTTGATCCCACATCTTGTGAATACTTTTACTTTGTTCGCTATTCTACGATGCAATTTTCTAATATTAATTTTCGAGTCATACTGATTCTTTAATTATTGCTATAAATATCTCCAACATTACAATTAATTTCTAATACTTCTCTTAGAATAATGTACAAGCATTTAATTAATATATGTATGGAATTCTTTATTCATCTGCCAGTCTTCTTGCTCTGAACTTCTTTTTACTCTCCATGCATAGATTCTGCAAAAGATTCTAATTAGAAAAAGCATGCTATGCTAACTCTTGATTTTTGTTTACTTCAATGTCTATTTTTTAGTCGTTGAAATTGAAAAATTTCGAAAATTCATTCTATTTCTGCATTAAATGGTCCTGTCAATTCAGCAAGAAAGAATGACTTCTGTTCAACAGAGGTTATTGCATCAATGATAGCAATGCATTGCTTAAAGTGTACAGTAGTTTATCATGATGAAATGTCGGTTTTTTTAATAACGTTTTCAACATTATTTTTACTTCTTCTATCTTTTCATTATTTGACGACGATTGAAATTAGTGAATCTGTTTAGTGTAAAAAGAAAGTTCAAATATCAAAGTACAAAGTTAGATTGACAGCAAACTTAACATTAACAGTTAGTTTTTCTATCAGCATTATCCATAGCAAGAACACATAAAAAAGAAAAAAGTCTTCAAATCAAGAACAACAGTAAAAAGGACTTAACCTTTCAGTTGGTCCGGCAACATTAATTGCCAAGTAGTGCATGCTATGATTTCACAGATCGATCAAAAACTATTCAATCAACTATCAATTAGAGAAAAATCAAATTCGGCAAAAAATTCATCATCCAACTTAATATGAGCTAACATTACACTAAGAGTTCGTCAACTTCATCAAGTAACTAAGCAAGTTGGCACTAAGAAGTTTTCCACTTCTTCAGCTTTTTGTTATCTATTGAAAACTTTTTGCTTGTTTACATAAATAGCATCTCCATGCTATAAAAAAATAGTTACTTTGCATCCATTAAAACGGTTTCGTTGATTGAAAAGCATCTTGTTCGATAAATACTTTTCGAACTGAAACAAAAATAAGTTCCTAAACAGCATTTAGTAGTTTTAATCAATTTTCAAATATTCATGAAAATAATGTAAATAAAAATAGAAAATAATTAAATATTGCTCGCGAAACACTTTCTCTAAATCATTATTGCTACTTAACAAATAGAACTCATCAAATTTATCGAAGAATTCAAACTGAAAGCAGATGCAATTCAAATAGCTTTACGAAAAATGACTTTTTCTTCATACTCGCACAGTATAGATTAGTTTTCTTCTATGTTATTTTCTACGGTAAACTGTGTTATTTTTGAACAATGTTTCTATCAAAGCGAGAACGTAAATATTGAATAGTGCGTCATAACAATTTATTTTGGAGAATTTGGTAAAATAAAAGAAGAGAATGGTCATGGATCGTAGTGAAGGAATGGATCTGATAATATTTCAAGTGTTAATGTTACGACAACTCTTCCTAGAGTTTTGTTTTAGTTTCTATTATAGTCGCAGAAAACTGTTTTTGCCATTTTCATATGTCCGTGTAAAAATCGATAAACATTGAAGAATTTAATGAAAAATGAGGCTACTTCTTTTACTCTGAACACGCGTTAAAAATATTAGCTTGTCGCTCACAAAAAAAAGCTTTTTAACAGAATTTCATAGTCAAAGCTTCAATATCTTTTTTTTTATGAAATCATGAAATTTTCATCCATATTTACATTGGTGATATGAGCGTAGGTCTAACATAAATAAAAATCTTTTGAAAAACTACTCATTAAATTATCATCGAGTTAAGTTCATAGCATTGATTCAACACAAAAAAAAAGTTAAATCATTAGACAACAGCAAAAAGATCTTATATTCGGCCTTCTTATTTTGAGTAAGTTATTATAGTGTTTAGCATACATATAAAATTTATCTTTATTTATGGTTATGCTCATGCTAACAGTCTAGCCGCTCATTTATTAATAGCTATTTACTTGAAATAAAATCAGTAAGTAAAAAAACTATTCTCATCATATCAAAAATATTTTGAAAACTGCATGTACATACACACTAGGAAAAGAACAATTTGTACAAGCTTATTTTTTCTTGTGATTTGTAGTTCTATAAGTAATTTGATCGATATCAACACCTTTGCTTCCTGGTTTCAATAGCCATATCAAAAATCCATTCTTCAAAAACTTTTTTCCAGTCACAATATTATAACCATACTCTTTAGCGAGATGTTTACCTGTAACACTAAACTGTTGTCGCATTCCAATACCATATATATTTTTCATCGATTTCCCTACTTGTTCATAACTAATCTTCCAATCTTCGAAAAAATTATATATCATTTCATTCGCTCCAGTCATACGATGAATAAAATTCTTTGGTAAAACTTGTTGAAATGATACAATATTAAATCCATCACGGAAGTTTGTACTAAATACTAATGCTTCAATGAGTAATGAGTGATCTGTTTGTTTACGTATGATATTAGCTACCCAAATGCGTCCAAATGGATCTGATGTACCTTCGATAAGAATACCATTTATATTTAGATAATTGCACATGAATACATGAGAAGTACGACAATCTAATTCCAAGTCATATTGTCTCAATACGTTGAAAGCACGTATTAGATTGACAGTTTCTGTGTG